AAAAAAACTGAGGCAAACTGAAAGAGTCATCAACTTATTTCTGTAATAAATTCAAGGCTCTCACCTGGGTGAAATCAAATGGCCACTCAAAAATAATGTATAGTGCAATACTGTTACATAAGACATTGATTTTATATATATTATATACATTTTCTAGCACTCACATATTCTTTCTATTCTTCCTAATGAAAGATGCATGCTAAAAAAGTTGTATTGTATTGTTCAAGCGTTACAATACTACGAGGCTTACATTAAACAAATTAGGCTAATGAGCAACTGTTAACGTCAGTAAAATAATATTAACAATAACTACGAATAAAAAAATAAATAAATCAATATCAACTTGCCTTCATGCTGTACTGCCAAAGATAAGTGGTTGCAGACATGATTCTCCACGTGAAGTTCCATGGTGGGTTTGAACACTTTTGGTCCGCAGAACGGGCAATGGCAATTACAGCAATAGCTCTGGCATCTCTGAAGGGCAATCTTCTCATTGCCGCAACACTGTTCTGTGCATCTATGGACAAGGTTAAATGTATTTCAAATGTTATTTCTTGGCAAGTTAGCGATGAGTAACCTGGCTACTGGGTAGTGTCATATCGCTGACAACAGTTCACATGTTAGCTTACCATAGCATAGCATAAATATCTAAACATACCAGCTGTATTTCCAACGCAAATTAGTTTAACTAAGTTAGCTAACTTAATTAGGCCACCTCTGCAGAGCTATACACGTGCGCGCTAGCCGTTATCTAGTTAGCGCTATTAAAGTTACTTAAACATGTCTTGGCGTTATCAAAAAGTATGGACACCATCAAAACTTTGACATCTTTAACTGTGATCATTACTTACAGGCGTACACTACATTATGAATCTATCTCGACTATATTATTAATCAAATGTAGACTTACATTGATAAGAGCAAACGTTGGCGACCACGGGCTGCAACTTCACAAAATATGCAGGTTCATCCGGTGGAACAAAGTTTATAAAGTGGGAGGAGTTGGATCTGGATCCAACCTCGCCCCCTGGATCTTGTGTTCTGCAGTGAGGACCATCTCCCTTTGAGCCCCACATGAGTGTGCAGAGTTTTGTTCCAACCCTGCTCCAACACACATACCATGTAGTTTTCAAATAAGCCCGAATGACTTGATTTGTTGGATCAGGTGTGTTTAATTAGGGCTGAATCTAAACTCCACAGGGCTCTGGCCCTCAAGGAATTGAGTTTGACACCCCTGGGCTTGACTCTTCAGGTGTATCTGTAAGTGTGATAGCAAAGAAAGCTGGTCAGAAAGCTCTCGGATTTCATCAGAAATATCTTAAAGGTCACATATTTCACACCTTTCTGGAGTTTTATTTTAGGTTTTGATGTCCTTAAGAATATATATTTGCGGTATGAGCACCAAAAACCATCTCAATATATTTTTACAGCTCCTCTCTCAGGAGCTCTGCTAAGAACAAGTCGATTTTGGCCTGTCTAATTAATGTTCTTGTAGTCCAGGTGATATGTGAAATTTTTTTCCCACTTTTTCATAAAAGCATGAAACTTGGTACACTTGTACAGTTTGCAGCCCTGAACATTTTCAGAAATGGAGCCATCGCAAAAACGCTTCGTGTTCGCCATTTTCTTTTCCGCCATTACCGAATTATGTATTCTATATTATATCTCCTGAACCAAACATGTTAACACAGAAAATGTGATGTCTACCCCTATATTTTTATGGTCAAGGATTACAATGATATCATATACAACAACATAAACTGTTGAGGTGAATAGTTAATGGTACTTCCAAAGGACAAGTCATGTCACTCAGTGGCCATCTTTGAAACACCTCTTGGGCATGCAATTGCAGCTATTGCAGCTT